AATGTTGAAATCGTTAATCTATCTGGAATATACACTGGTATAGTGAGTTAGGTATCTGGTTTTCTTTTTTTTTTTTGTCTTTTGTCTTTTTTTTCCGTGTCCGGCAACGGATCGCAACCCTCAGTGTTGCCCCCGTACCGGACCAGGGACCGGCAACGGGATTGCAAACCTCGGTGTTGCTCCCACGCCTCGCTCAGCCAGTGAGCGGGAGCCGGTCTGTATGTGGGATCCGAACCCTCGGGCGGCAGCGCTGCCGCGCCTCCTAAGCAGCGCACTATCCAGTGCGCCACTGGGCCGGCCCAATGTTGGTATTATTATAACCATTTTACAGAGGAAAAAATTAATATTCAGAGAGGTTAACTATTTTGCCCAAACTAGACGAAAGCTCAAGGCCTGTGCATGATTGTAACCACTGGTCTCTACTTCCTTCCTTAGCTTTATACTAAGCCATGCCATTTACCCCTTGATGGCTTAAAGGGCAAACAAATTCACTAGACTTCACTGCTGATGACATTTGGGGTTACCATTCTCCTTATGATCTATAAAGAAAACAAGAACAGATATTTCCCTCTAAATTCTGTCCTAAACCTGCTGAATAAAATGCTGTTATCCTTGAGAGGAACATAGCTAAAGCCTGACTGATGGTCTGATTTAAGTTTCTAAACATCAAAGTGTGATTAGGACCTAACAGAGGTTCTTCATGAAATTCGCTAGAGCATTGTGCACCATGGATTGGAATTCATGCTCTACTGGGCCATTCTGAAATAGTCCCAGAGAATGAATCACCACAAGCATGAAAGACAGACTACATATACTGCACAAGAAAGTGGAAAGTAAATTGAAACAATTTAATGGTGTCATAATTTTAAAAATTGTGTTGATTGCAAATTAATTTTTCAAAACTCACCAATTTTTGTTAATTCAGGACAGGAATTGATTCTAAATATAAAATATAAAATATTTCCTTTTCTTTTCTAAGTATTTGGAGAACAGAATATATAACCACTTGTTTTCTGAAAAGAATATATATATTTGAATATCTGAAGCAGAAATCAATGGAAAATTTCAAGATACATGTGATAACATTCATCTCCCAAAGGCATCGGTTCAACAGCTTAATAATTATAATGCAATCATTTGTTGTATGAAATGAAATAGTTTTGAGTAAAAGTCATCTAAGTCATAAAGGAGTAACAGAATAATTTCTCAGTTCTACTAACATGTGAATTTCACAAACTAGGACCCTGTTGTCTAGCAAGGCAACCACAGCACCACAGCAGCCCCTGCAGTCTGACCTACTCTCTCCCATTAGAGGCAACAAACAGAACAGGGACTTTGGCATTTCAGAACAGAATGAGGTATTTATGTTTCTCACATTTTCTTGCAAAGGCTTAAAATGAAAATTTCTTACCAGGAAGTTCCAGTTGGCATCAATTTGAGTCACCATGCGGGAGAGGAACACTCCCAGGAAGAGGAGGGAAAAGAAAAAAGCTGTCACGGACACGAACATGACCCATCCTTGTAGCAGAGGTAGAGGGATGTTGGAGGAGGCAACCAAAATCCAGACGAGACCCCCAAACAACTGAAAGTAAAAAAGAAAGAAGGAAATAGGTTTGCTTAAAAGATACCTTTTGTGCAATGGTATTAAACATGCCTGCATCACCTACATTCTACTTTCCCCCCCAGGCCAAGGCACACATACTTGCAATCCCACCCACTATCTTTTCTCTGTTATTACACCAGATGCCTTCTTTCTTTAGGTGAAAGACCAGTCCTTCTATCTGGAGGCCTGATCCAACCTCACACCTGTGTATCCATATTGGACCCTCTTCCTCAGCCCATGAACATGCCCTGCTTTCTCTTGTCACCTAAAAACATCCTCCTTTGACCCTGATGCCTCTCTAACTACCACCCTTTCAATGTATTTTCCTTTTCAACCATTTTTAAAAAATCACTGTTGCTTGGTCTCCACTTTTCCTCTCCTTGCAGTTCCTCTTCAAATCACTATGAACTGGTTTCTGCTCTCACCACTTCCTAGAGAGTTAATTAGCAAAAAACAGCTATGTGTTTCTAATTTGTCACATACAATGGTCATTTTTCTTTCTTTATCATGACTAGTTGTATGTTTGATATTATTGCCTATATAGAGAACAATGGTTGCAGCAGTAGTACATGATAGTAAATAAAAGCTACCATCATTTACTGAGTATCTACTATGTGCCGGACACAAGAATACATATTTCAGATACTTATGGATCTAACAGCCGATAAATGCATACTACATGTCAGGCACTGTGCTAGGTTGCTGGGAATAAAATGGCAAACAAGCTACACTTGGTCTCTGCCATTACAGAACTCAGTCTGTTATAGGAAAGAGACAACTAAGCAAGTGATTGAAATGCTGCTTAATAAATGGCACCATAGGGCAAATAATGGGTACTGCATGCAGCTCCACAGGGCAAGGGCACTAAATCCAGATTTGAAAAGTCAGGAAACACGTTTTAGAAGCAAAAATCCAAAGGAGATGGCTAGGAGGTAAAGCAGAGGGAGGACAAGGGTGTTCCAGGGTGGGAGCTGAGAGACAGCCCAGCACAGGTGAGGAGCAGAGCTCAGCATGACAGGAGCTCCTTGCAACAAGTGGGGAATGATGAGAGCTGTGAGCAGCTGAGCTGAGGGGTCCTGAAGGCCAGCCCAAGGAGCTGGACTTCACCCAAGGGCAACAGGAAGGCCACCATCATCTTGAGCATGAACTAGCATGATCAAGATTTTATTTAGAAGTTTCTGTACAGCTAGAGTGTGAGAATGGAATGGAGAGGAAAGTGTAGAGGACTGGGGGACCACACAGGAGACTGCTATGGCAACAATGCATAAACGAGAATCTGAGCACTGAGGACAGAGAGAAGGGAATGGATTACAGAAAAATTTAGAAGTAGCCATGATGGTAATTGATGACTGACAGATGTGGGACATGACGGAAAAATAACAGATCAGCAGAATGCCCAGATTTCTGGTTTGGGCAACTAGGATTAGGTGGGGAAACACAGGAGGAGAAACAAGGAGTGAAAATAATGACCTTTATGAATTTAACACCATCAGTCTCCTCTATACTACCACTAAAGCAACGAAGGCTACTCATCTTTTGTATGGCATCCCAAGTCTTTTGTGATCTGACCTGTATTTTCCATCCTGTCTCTTGCTACCAAGTCCCTCACATTCTGTATTATGGGGTAGGGGGTGGGGAGTGAAAATCCATAGTTTAAAGACAAAGCTCTCTCACATCTGAGTGGCCTGATGCTTGTCGGCCCAAAATGTCCTTCCCTCCCCATGTGTATTTGAAAAACTTCCACTCATACCTAATATTCAGCACATCATCTAAAAAATCTTTTTTTTTTTCTGAATTCCACACTATGCTCAGTTAGCCCTTGCTCCTCTGGGCAACCTCCCTATTAGGGATTTTTACATGGATGAGACATATTGCAATGGACTCCCCTTGGCTTTCAGTCCATCAGAACTTCCTGGCAGCATACGGCTTGATATGTCTCTGAATTTCAAGCCATTTATTAGTCTACATAATAATCCTTTCTAATTATCAGTCAGGCACTATGCTAGATTTGGCAAAACAAAAACCTAGACTATACACCTGCCCTGAAAACACCTCAGGCACATGGGAATCAATCTTCCTGTCCTGTTCTCTCCTCTCCTCTCCCACACAAATATTTGTTTAGTGAACAAACTAGTGCTCATACGAGAACAGTTTGCGTTCCGAATATTAAAACCAATAATCATTTGTATCTTTCCTCTTAAGTATCTAAATACCCAAATTGCACAAATCACTGAAAGTAAAAAAAAAGTTTTTATTCAAGTTTCAAAAAAAAGGCTTACTCATAGAATTTGTTACAGCTTTGACGAAACATTTTGAAAAAATAATAAGTTATCACTTGAGCAATGATAACTAAAGCACCATTCTAATAAATTTACAGTTGTGGTGTAGTCAAGTCCTAATTTCAAACAAAAAATTAACAATCAATCCAGAAAGTTTTATAAAATAAAAGTAATAAATACTAATACATACTAAAAATTTTAATCACTACCTTATCAGTGACTATGAAAGAAAAGCACTTGTTCCTGGTAAAAGATAATCTGCTTTTTCATACAGTTTAATAAATATTTGAAGGTAATAAGAATGTCTTCAATGCATCAGTCTTTACTTTTCCTGCAGCTTCTTCTTTCTGGTAGTCTTTTTGATCTGCCCACTACAAATAGCTTACATGACTTTACAGTTTAAGAAATGTCATTATTAAATATCTCTTAATTTAAGAGTCATTTACTGAGAATCTTCTGCAGGTATAAAGAGTGAGAAGAACAGTTGGCCACTGTTTATGAGGGATAAGCAAACCCAAATAGATATGCATAATAATATGATGTAGGGATTGTGATAAATTTACACAGCCTCTAAACAAAAGGCTACGTGATTCTTTGTAATTAAACATGGCATTTAATAACCTGGACTGGACCTCAGACAGGTCAGTGCAAAACCTAGTGCTAGGTACTGTAGAAGAATACTCAAGAATAAAACAATACAAACCAAACCAAACCAAACAAAAAACAAAACAAACAAACAACAAAACCCCAAAAGGGAAGGTTCCATCTACAAGAGCTCTAAATGAGGAAGAAATAGGTACCATTAAATCTGATTCAGGAGCAGATTGTGGTACATGCTATAAAAAGAGCTCAACATGGTGTACTCTGAGAGACCGGCAGAGGGGAGAAAAAAATGTAATGGGTGGAATCTGGGAAGGTAGGCAGGTTTTGAAGTGAGCTTTCAAGACAGACCAAAACTTTTGACAGTGAGGCTATAATGTGAAACAGCATAGATTAACTATTCTTGCTGCACTCAAAATTATAGCCCTTCCAGCCCCTCAAAGGCTTGGAAAGGGAACTAAGTGCTTATATGAAAAGTGACCAGATTCGCCTCCTCATTTGTGGTTGTGTGTGTTGCATGGAAAGGGAGCAAGAAGGGGTGAATGAACACCCCTCCCTTTCTCTCACATAAACACATACACTGCATCTCTAGGTCAGAGATTCTACGAAATCTAGATGCAAGCCCTGCTCACCAGGCTAGCCTTGGAAGATAGAGGATGGGCCAGGGAACATAATTAAGTCCACTCTGGAGAGCCGCCTTCCTCCTTTCAAGAGTATGATGCTGGTGTATGAGTCACTATAACCTTGACACAATTATTTCTTCCCTACTTAATGACTTCCTTTTGACAAAAGCTACCTTTCCTTCTGAGTTTCCCAAATTGGCTCCAACTTTTAAAATTGAGCTTTTAACAGCTCTACTACTATGGGTCAAATGTGTCCCCCCAAAGTTCATGTACTAGAAATTTCATCTTCATTGTAACAGTGTTAAGAGGTTGGGAAATCCAATTAAGGTACTTGAAAGGTGAGGTCTTTAGGAGGTGATCAGTTTCTTAGGACTGTGCCCTTGTGAATGGATTGATCCATTCATGCAGTAATAGGCATGGCTCAGATGGCTTTACAAGGAAAGGAAGTGATGAGGTTAATTCTCTCTTGCTTAGCCCATTCTCACCACATAACATCCTGGTCGCCATGGGACCCTGTAGAGAGTTTCTACCCAGAAGGTGGCCCTCAGCAGATGTGTTCCCTGGACCTTGGACCTCTCAGCCTCCAAAACTATAAGAAATAAATTTCTTCTGTTTATAACTTACTCAGTTTGAGATATTCTGTTATAAGCAACAGAAACGGACTAATACAACTACCAATGCTAGTATATTCACTTCATCTCATTCTGGGCTTTAGAAGTCAGAATATTTACTAGACATAGTGTAATTATAAGTGTCTCCATTTAGTAGAGATGATTCTGGAGGAATATGTTTTCAGAGATGAAAGGCATAGCACACAAATGGTTAAAATCTAAGAGAGAATAGTTGATAAAGTATCATAGCAACTGCAGAGTATGCACAGTACTAAGAAAGGTATTAAGAATGCCATGTTTCGCCCACGATGTTCTCATCTTGGATCAGAATCCACATTCTGACCTGTTGCTTACCACTGACTTCCCTTGCTCTTTAGTATTGTAGAAAGTCTGATAATTATGTATAAAGCAGCCAAATACATCTCAATTTGAAATTTATTTAAAAAACTAAGTCAGGGCTCCTAACACTGAACTTCAAGCTCTCACAAAAATACCCTACTTCCGGGTAACGCAAAGGTAAAAGTAGATAGCAGCCTTCCCCTGAGGCTCGGTTACCCATTATCTTCTTAGTCCAACTGTAGGTGTACTTGGCACACTCCATAAGTACTCAAATATATTCTGAGTTTCACTTATTAAATTGCTACACATTTGTAATGCAACTGATCTTCACTGTGGTTTAACATATATTTGCCCCTTTAGTTTGGCTTCTGCACACCTGAAGGGTATGGCTTGGCTACATCCCTCCTATAAGAAAACCACGGAAGTATTCATCCACAAATCACACTAAATTGGACCCTCAGAACTGGAGTTAAAACATGTTCTCACTAGAAAATACGGACTAGTAAAAAAAAAAAAAAAAAAAACTA